GGCCACAGTAGTATTCAATAGCATGTGGACACATAGCACACGCATATGTGAACATGTATCACAACACAACCACAATAATACCCTTCACCTGTCTTAGGAAAACATCTTGAAATACTACTGAGCTCTTTAGTTTCTTTCTAAAGCCATGATGTGTGATATGTTCATTTACTACAGCCACCTGTAAGGAGCCCAACCTATATTTGAATTGTTAGATTTTTCACAACAATAAATACTATATATTATTATAAGACATTTTGTTTCTACTTTAACTCAAATGAGAAAAGTTCATTATCTCAAGTGTTACCTCTCTGGAGAGAGCTGGAAACAGACTTAAGATTATGCTGTCATTAAAATATAAAGAAGTTTTCCCTTTTAGTAGACATAAATACTAACATTTGTACAGTGTATTAATTCTGGAAAAATTATAAATTACAAAAACACTGCCCTTTTGCACAGATGTGAATAAATGATTCAATCTAATTGAATCTGTTTTATTTTGATTTCAAACAATTATCACATCCTTTCATTGAAGAGCTCAATTTTGTCCAAATGCAAACTGGTCCCTCCAACTCCATTTTTGTATTCTTCAGAAGCATGTGTTCTTTTGTTAAGCCAACACAACCACCTGGTGTTGAATATTTAATGTGAAGAGAATTTCTGGCATCTGGAATTAACTGTTATACTCTCTACACCTGCTTAGCTGTGATCTTTGTGTATTTGTGTTTAGTCTCTTCACCAACATTTAATGAAGAAGAGGAATAGGGGATAAAATTAGAAAACAGAATCAGTAAAAGTAAAGCTACAATGATGTGATTAGTCAAGTTTTTGAAGCATTTCATTTTTACAAAACAGAATTAAATAGAAGGATTTAGAGTTTTAAGCTCGAGTATATATTTTGAATTTAGTACGATAGAGAACATTTTCTTATTTTATAAAGAATGTCATAGTTTGGGTCCTGATCGGCTTAGCTTACCTTCGGCCAAAATAATTTATTCAGTCATATGACAAACAGACTTTTAAGTGGTAGCACTTGGCATTTTTGTGGAGTACGTAACATTAAAGGTTTTGAAATGATGAGCAACAAAATAAAAGTAAGAGTAGAACCGCTGGTCTTAACCATCTATGAAAGGTAAAGTTGTTAAACTTCACATCTAGGGAACGTTAAGACAACAAAAGTAGTTTCTCTGCTATAGAATAAATAAAAGAAAATTATTCACTATGTCCTGAAAATATACAGGAGCTTATTAGATAAATGTAATCAGAGAGCTTATGGTATTTGCAAACCTTAAAAATCACCATTTCCTATACAACTGATTATTTATTGACTTATAATGTGCTGTGAAATGGTGAAACTATGAATACTATAAGAAAGATTAAAATTATTCATAGCAGAATTCTACAAATTATCTTTTTAACTTGGCATTTGTAAATTTCCAAAAATCAAAATTATCAATTACTAAAATTATCCTTGTACAATATTTGGTAACTATTTTAAATAGGCATGATACCTATTCACATAAATGTTGCAAGGTGAAATGAGAAAATTTATATGCAAATATGTCAAATGTTCTATTTCACAGGTAGAAAGTTTTTCCTAAATGATAAATTTGCTAGACATGTTTGTCAAACTTTCAAATAAGTAAATTTCCATGTTTTGATCCAACCTCACCATTGATAAAGTCCCTGATCTTTCATAGATCATCCATTCCATTGCTGGATAAGTATAGTACATAATCAATTTTTACACTTATTCAAGATCCACACTTCAAATTGAACTGTTGGTGCCAGTTTTGTCTCCTGGAGCCACATAGAACATGAACTTTTGTCTTTCACATGACAACCCTCTACATATTTCTAATCACCTGTGCCCTCCTCCAAGTCTTTCACCCCATGACTGTACTCTTTATTTTTAAAGCAATTCCTCATAAGTTTATATTACATGTTTGCAGTACAGAATTTGCATTTATTTTTTAGAGAGCAACACATCTTGATTATTTTACTCTCTTTTCCCTCCTGCCTCCCTCTTTAGAAAGTGGAGCTGGGAAGAGATGACACAGTGTACCCTAGAGTGTCAGAGTAGAGTTTAGGTAGTGGGACCTCAAGAATTGGTGTTATGATTACCCCAAACTTATTCAGTTGGGGATTAAATTTGTGGATGATTACTTGGGACATTTTGTTTGCAAATGACAGAGACATTACAAACTTGAGTTAAAAGACAAGTTATTACTTTCTAGTAGGTGACTGTGCTGGAATGCTGCTGGGAAGAGGAATGTAGTTGGGCCACAGGAATCTAAAAGCAGACAAGAGTCTCTCTTTCCAAGTCTCACTTCTATTTCTCTTTCCATAGAACAGAGTCCTCTGCTGTACAACTGGTGGGAGACACAGCTTCCCAAAAGTCTAAAGCTTTATCTCTTAGATGTAGGTTTTCCAGGAGACTTAGATCATTCTCATTTCTGATTTTAAAATCTTCTATAAGAGATTTTCATTCTTATGTCAAATGTCCACTCCTGGCACTATCAACTGTGTCTTACTTGTTTCTGTTGTAACTACTTAGACAAGCAAAAAGAGCAAGTACCAGGCCAGATGAACTGGACAGACAAACCTGTAGGTGTTCACCACAGAACACAGTAATTCCCCCTTGTCCCGTGGCATGCATGGTCAGAATAGTCTGCATTCTAAGATCTCCTGGTGAGTGCCTGACACCACTGATGACACCAAATCTTGTAATTTAATGCCTTTTCCATCTTAAATAAGCACTTATGTACTGTGTCATATTTCCTACAGTTTGAGGTACAAAATTAGGTGATATTTTTTCTTTCTTCACATTTTTAACAATAAAAGACTCATTCTTACTACAAGTCCTAGCAATCTCAGCATCTATTTTTTTTCTTTCCTTATTGTCTTGATTACTTTTCTCTCATTGCTGAGACAAAGTACCTGGCATCCAAAATTAAGGAAGGAAAGGTTTATTTAGCTCACAGTCTGTGGAGGTTTCAGTCCATAGCTAGTTGTCTCCAAAGCAAGGTGGCATGGCACAAGGACAACACTATCAAGGTGGCAGAAGGTAGAAAAGGCAGCAAGAGCAAAAAGGGGAAGAACACGCCTTTTTTCCTCCCTTATTTGTAAGCAGGCTATGCCCCTTGGGTGAATGTCGCACTTACAACATCTCCATGCCCTCCTCTTGCACAGCCTGAGGATGTTACAAAGTAAGGATCCTGGTCCCCTGCTGAACTTTCACAAACTGACACAATGGACAACATCCTAGAGCAATAAATGATTTGATCTTCTACATCCCAGGACCTAGAGCTGCTGAGTTGCTTAGTTAAGCTTCTGGACTTCTCAAGTTGACACAGTCTATCAACCATAACATTTATTAAGCCAATAACTTATCTGTTCACTTAAAGGAAGCACTTTATAGCTTCCCTTTGGGATATCCAAATTGTCAGGATCACTATGCTTAAGCATTTGCTCAGTAAAGTAACGCTAGCACTGTGATACCACGACATTCAAACTGAATGGGTAGCATGTATACCATGATTAACATTGAAACAGAAGAGGATAAGTCGTGGTCAAAGTAGGATGTATCAGGACACTGTGGAATTTTATCATGTTACCTAGAACCATATGCTAAGTAGGACTTTTAATTTGCTTCTTGGAGCCGCTATTTAGTATTTTTGGATCAAGTTTGAACATCTGTAACTGAAACTGCAGAAGGGAAAACCACAGATCAATGGGTAGTATTAGTATCTTTTGTCCTAGTTTTTCTTTTTTATCAGAAGTTAATTGAATCCTCTATTCTATTTTAATGTAAATTGCAATGTAGTCTCAGGGATTCTTCTTAGTACTTTTTCTTAATGGCTACCTGAACTTATGACATCATTTATACTTAATGAATTTCAACTCATCTTTGAAGCCTGTTGAAATTTAGGGTCATAATTCCTTATCCAACATATGCAAGGTATTATCAATTCAGCAAATGTTTACATTTTTTAAAAAAATTGATTAAATAAAAGATATGTTTCCCCCTCAAAATGTTTCCCTTCACTTTAAATACACTTAATCATTCTTTACTATAATAAAGTTGTTAAAATTTAATTAAAAGTTTTTAAACATTTGATTATTTAGCCTATCATTTGATCACCCCTTATATTACCAAAATTTGTTCAACTATTAATCTGAAGTCTGGCTTTTGTCTTCATGAGTAGATGATAAAATGAACAGGGTCACAGGTAGAACTATCTTGCGGTCCATTAGAAACTTCTTTTGTGATTGACAAGGGCCCATTAATCAATACCTTTTTGACACACTCATCCAACTAGCCATGATGACTTAGAAATGTGTGGCTGCATAAGCACGTGTATCCAAACACCCATGACACCAGAGATAAAAGATTAGCTGCACATCCTGTGAATGGAAAGTATTGGAAAAGCAGTGCTGTTTCATTACCAAAAGAGAAATTTTTACAGTGACCTGAAACAATTATTCCTTCCTTTCATAGCAGGTGATACCTAAAATGCTTGGTAGCATTATACAGTTCATTATCTGAACAAATCATTTTACTCATGGAAACAGCTCAAAAAAGAATTTCCAGACACACTAATCTTGATAGGAAGGACCAAAATTTCGAGGCTCCACGTGTTAGGAGCTGAGCAGACACCTTTGTCTGACACCTGGACTCTGTCCCAAATCCTTACTACTTAAGCCATCTCCATTTCAGCTCTGACACACACCTTTAGCGCGTGCTCTAAAGCAAAGACATGCTCGGAATGTTCTGCTTTTCCAGATTTGATGGATGCTATGTTCTTTTCTCACTTTTTAACTAGTGTGTCAGTGGGACCTCACCATGTGTCATCTGTGGAGTGAAAAAAAAAAAAAACTATGCCATTGATGAACTGCTAATTTCAACCAGCTTTTGATGCTAAACATTGTTTATTCATTTATCCTTTCAGTCATTCACAGATGTCAATCAAGAGCTTATTGTATACCAAGAACTGGAGATGGTGCTCAATTTCACGGCACATAACCTAAAAGTGGAACAATACAGACAAGATTAGTATTGCCCCTGTGCAAAGATGTCAAGCAACGTTGTGAAGTGTTCTATACTTTGGCCATAGTTGTTGGGGGAAGAATTGTACCATGTGAATCACATGACCTTCCTGAGTTTTCCCTATAGTCTTCTTACCCTGAGAGTATTTTCTTAAGTCTCTCCAGGAAATTTTCATTCACATTCTTCAATTACCAATTGAAATCTTAGGCTGATTTTACCAATTTAACTCTTTCTAGTTATGTAATAGAGCGTAGCATTGCCATAGTACTGCTGTGAAAAGAACTTTAATCTATCTTTATTCATTTTCTTCTTTCAGTGTCCTTCATTTCTTTCTATTTATATATTTACGCAGTGTTGGAGATGGAGCCCAGGGCCTCATTCATGCTAATGAAGCACTTTATCACTGAGCTACATCCTCAGCACTCAATGACCTTCTTAATTAAACTGAGTGTCCCAGTTGCTGTGCTCAGGAGCCACAAGGATCTATCAGAATATAATCAAGTGGTGTTCTGCCACCCAGAACATTACAAAAAATCCAAGTAATTTTTGGGGCAAGAACAAAGAAGATTCCATTTCTGGGAATTTGCTGTAGGATACAACTAGTAATGATAGAATTTGCAAGAAACTGCCTTGACGTGAAAGATACTAATTCACAGAATGTTAACCAAACACCCAAGTTCCTTTGACTCTTGCCTTTCACACCATTCTAAGGGAAGCAAGTATTACTGCAAGCAGAAAAAGCTCTACTTGGAACTAAAATCACACTAACCTGCTTGCCCAATAATGTAGACACTAGAAGACTCAAGTAGATTAATGAAGATCTGAGAAAGATCTTTTGACTTTTGAAGTCTTTACAGACATACCACCCTGATTATGAAATGCTCTTTTTGTTTGCTTTTTAAGGGCAATTATTAATGAATCTTTTGAAACCCAAGCTTTTGCTTGCAGTCTTTTGACTGCATGGACCTCTCCATTAAGAGCAGGATCTAATAAAAAGCCACCTAAACAAATGCTTACTGTTTTAGGATCCAGGAGTAAGCCTAAATGTTTTTTTCCCTTAGATTATGCTTTCCCTCCAATGTAGGATTATGATATTTGCACACAATTCATATTTTTGACTTAGTTAAATATAGAGGACTGTTTTCAATGTAGCTCCATTTATAAACTTGAAAAATAGCTTTCTTTATATCTAGAAAAATATGCTATCGTAGGATAATACTACATAGTTAAACCAAAATTATATTTTGGACTTTGAGGGTCGTACTGATGTTTTGTATATATCAGGGGCTTAAATATTTGGATATGAATAAACAGAATTCAGAAATAAGCTTAATAAATGAGAAAGAGATGCACAAAAATTTGTGGAGGTTTTTGGTAATGCAAGATTACTAACAAGGTCATTTTTCAACAATTTCATTATTTGTTGTTCCCATGTTTCTTTTTTATTTCTCATTGTCTTCTTTTCTCACCAAATATATTTTGTGAATCAGTCTAAAAAAAACCATAAACTCCTATTAAATCCAGCTTCCAGTCAACTTAGGCAGCAGTGATTTTCTGCTGTCTGAATTCTTTCAACTGAATTTTTTATACTACATATAGGTACCTACATTTGATAGAAAGAAAGGTGTATTAGAGAGGATAGATCTATGTTCAGATACTGCCTTGGCCACTTACCAGATTGAATACTTATACAGTATCTAATATTTCTGAGCCATTTCTGTGAAATGAGGATGATAATACCAATTTTGTAGGGAAGTTTGGGGAAGTTAACCCATTCCTGATGCTATGACAAAATACCTTAAACTGAGTAAACATAAATAGTAGAAATTCATTTCTCACAGTACTGGAAGCTAGTAAGTCTAAGATCAAGTTACAGGCATATCCGGTGTTTATTAAGGGCTCCCTCTACCTCCAAGATGGTTGCTTGTCATTACGTCTTCCAGAAAGAAAGAATACTGTATCTTTATATGACAGAGGAACATTTTTGATATCACTTTTATAAGGGCATTAATCTCACTCATGAGGGTAGAACCCTCATAACTTCATTCCTCCTGAAACAATTTTATTTCTTTTTTTTTCTTTCTTTCTTTCTTTCTTTCTTTCTTTCTTTCTTTCTTTTTTTTTTTTTAAATAGTGTCTTGCTATGCTATTCAGGCTGGTCTTAAACTCACAACAGTCCTCCTGCCTTAGCCTCCCAAGTGCTGGGACTACAGGCATGTGCCACTATGCCCAGCTCTACAACTTTATTTCTTAAAGTTTCTAACAATACAAATATCCTAGCCTTAGCATATTCTTCTGTCATTCTCTAGCAGTGGAGTAGGGGTAAAGGATGGGTGGCTCTGAGCTTCTTTGCTTTGTTCTCTCAGAAATATCACCCAATATCTGTGAGTGTCAGTTTCATAAAAAGAAAAGTGAAGATAATAATTCCTCATCAAAATGTTATTGTGAAGAGGAATAAAATTAACGTATAGGGAAATCTTTTGTGAGCTAAAAAGCACAAAATACATGGCCCCTGTGACAGTTAACTGTGTCAACCTGAGTAAGAGAAACACCAAACTAAATTGGATCAGCATAGTTCTGGGTGTTTACTAAAGAAGACAAATGGGATAAAAGGAAGACGATAAAGGAAGGCTCAGTTCTGTTTCTTTGGAGGAGCTCCAGTCTTTACCTTCGCCATGGATGTCATCTCCTGGCTTGCAGTGCAAACTCAACAGCCTCCAGTACAGACCATCAGCCTCCCTATACGGAATTGCACAGGACTCTTCTGTGTGCTCCAGGCCTTAGATTTTAAACTGGATCCTTCATATCTCCAGGACATAAACAGGCCTTTTGCACTGATCAACACTTGACGCTCTGGGAGGCTACTGTATAACTACTTTGTGAATCTTTATTAACTCTGTTTCTCTCGTGAGTACTGACTGATATGGTCACACTATAATCAGATTGCCAGAAAATTTATTTCTTATTTCTCTCTGCACTTGTCCTTTTCCCATAATGCATACCTGTAGTGAGCCATCGTGACAGGTGGATACACACACACACACACACACACACACACACACACACACACACACCTGCTCAGAATCTGCTTTCTAAACTTTTTATGAAATATAATATTCATGCAAATTCTACAAATATTAACAAGTTAAGGAATTTTTATCAAATTTGTAAGCAGCCACAAGGCTCAAGTCATAAAATATTACCAGTGACCCAGACACTTCAACTGTAAATCCTCTCCATCCAGTTAGCTAGCATTCTGATTTCCACAAGCAAAGATTCACTTTGCTAGTATTTTTGCCCATAATACAAAAAGAATCAGACTCTGGGCTCTTCCATACCTGTGTATAATTATTACATTCAATATTAAGTCTAACAGGTGCCCTTCCTTGCTTGTAGCCTTGACTCATTATTGTTGACTGTCCTAAATTTTATCCATTTCACTATTGATGCTACTATTGTTACAGGTTGGAACTATTTCAAACAATACAGCAAACACTATTTACAGGTGACTGTGCTTGCCTTTCTACTAAGACTACACCTAGGAGTGAAATTACTGGCTCATATATAAATTTTCCATTTTAGAAAAGACTTCCAATCATTTTTCTAAAGTGATTGTAACAATTTATATTCATGCCAGTAGTTGTTTTCCTACAGTCATATGCCTATTTTACATTGTGTTGTTTATATTTCAATTATTTTTTAGTTTTTTATACATTAACATAATATACAGTAGTACCTCATTTTAAAATCTTAATTTGTTTTTTTATTTTGTGGAAGATGGCTTTGTTTGTGTTTGTGTTTACATGGGGAAAATGGATGTGGTATGTTTGTCAATCCAGGCAGAATTTATAAATTAAAGCAAAATTTTGCCACTTTTGTTTGTAAATTAAATCATTTGCAAACAGAAGCATTTATGAACTGAGGTATTACTACATATTGAACAATACAATATACATATAATCAATATATTCAGTGTCCTCTGGTTTATGTTCTCATTAATGATATGTTTCTGTGAATAGGAAATGCTTAGTTTTAATTTGTTGAAATAAACATTTATGACTATTGCATTTTGTTTTCCATTTAAGAAAACTTTGTAGGCTGGCATGGTAGTGCATGTCTGCAAACTTAGCACTCTGGAGGCTGAGGCAGGAGGATTTCAAGGTTGAGGCCACCCTGGAGTACATAGCACCACCACAGAAAACATAAACAAAAACCAAAGTTTGTCTACCTGAAATAGTAATGATAAAGTTTTTGTTTGACTTTTGCAAATAGGCCTAAAATACAACTGGAATTTATTCATGAATTATATATATATATATATATATATATATATATATACTCATTTTTCCCAAACTGCTTATTCAAATAGCAGCACTTTTAATTAGAAAGAACATCTTTCCTATGCTATAGTCTCATCATTGTGAAATATTAGATAACTGTAAAGATAAGGGACTTTCTGTGTTACTCCATTGTTATTTTTACCTATACATTTGCAAACTTCAATTTGTCTTAATTTTGATAATTTATGATATGTCCTGACATTTGAAAGTGTAAGTGTTCCATCTTTTTTCCATTAACAATCTCCTTGACTATTTTTGACCTGTTGAAAATTTTTATAAATCTTAAAATCAGCTTGTCAATTTCTACATTGAGATTTTTAATTGGTATCATTTTATTTATAATTAATTGGGAAGAACTTAAAACTGAAAATATCAATTTTTCTAATTCATGTAAAATAACAAACTAGGTTTTTAAAACTTCTCATGAAAATTTTTACAATTTTCAATTTAGAGCTTTTAAACATTTATACTGAATACAGTTCTACATGGAGTGGTATTATACTAATGTAAATTAGTTTTTTATTTTTATTGCATTTGCATTTTTGCTACTGGTATATAAAAATACAATTACTTTTATTTATTATCCTGGAAGCCAATGAACTGGCTGAATTCACTTACTGATCTATTAGTTTGCCCCTCACATTCTCCCTGTCCCTCTTCCCTATACGCAGACCTGCCATCTATGAATAATGACTGTTTCACTTCAGGCTTTTGCAAACT